GGGGCAGCAGCCTATATATTAGGGGAGTGAGGCTGGGGGGGGCAGCAGCCTATAGATTAGGGGAGTGAGGCTGGGGGGGCAGCAGCCTATAGACTAGGGGAGTGAGGCAGAGGGTGTTTGTGTGTGCGTGTTTGTTCGGGGCCTGTTAGTGTCCTGTTTGTGTGCTGTGTGTGGGTGTTTTTTGTTTGTCAGGGTGCTGTTTGTGTGTGAGTGTGCTGTTTGTGTGTGGGTGCTGTGCGGGTGTTGTGTGTGGGTTTTGTGTGTTTGTGAGGATGCTGTTAGTGTGCCGGGTGTGTGTGGGTGTTGTATATGTGTGGGTGCTGTGTGTGCAAGGGTGAAGTATGTGTGTGGGTGCTGTTTGTGGGCTGTGTGTGCTGTGTGTAGGTACTGTGGGTGTGTGTGTGCTGTATGTTTGGGTGGAGTGGGGGCAGATTAGTTAATATCCCAGTCCTGCTGCCTTCCCTGGTAGTTCAGTGTAGAGTGAACTCTAGCCCGGGTTCTCTGCTGCCTCCCTCCATGCTGCTGTGGACCGGTGAGGTAGAACTTTGATCTCCCCACCGGCCCATGGAGGCTTAGACCAGAGCCGCCGCTTGGATAGCGTCGGCTCTGCATGAGCCGACTGGGGAGATCCAGAGATCTCCCCTGCCGGTCTCAATCCATTGGCGTGCCGCGGGGATTAGGGTGTGCCCAGGCACACCCGACACACCCCGTGCGCACGCCTATGGAAGTGAGGGATGGGGGAGACAGCCTACATGAAGAGTCAGCAAGGAGCAAGAAGGTAAAGTAAGAAAAGGAGAAGGAACAGAAATGAGCAGGAAGGGACATCAAGGAGCAGAAAGGGGCAGCAAGGAGCTGGAAGGGACAGCAAGGAGCACAAAAGGTAAAGTAGGAGGAGCACAAAGGAACAGAAATGAACAGGAAGGGTCAGCAAGGAGCTGGAAGGTAAAGCAGCACAAAAGTAAAGTAGAAGGAGCAGAAAGGGTCAGAAATGAGCTGGAAGGGGCAGAAGGAGCACAAAGGTAAAATAGGAGAATGAGCAGGAAGGGCCTGCAAGGAACAGGAAGGAGCACAAAGGTAAAGGAGCTGAAAGAATCAGAAGGAGCACAAAGGTAAAGTAGAAAAGGGAGCAGAAAGGGTCTGCAAGGAGCAGAAAGGGATCAGAATGAGAAAGGAGCAGAAGGGCGCTAAATAAGCAGAAAGTAGCAGAAAGGTAAAAGAGCAGAAGGGGCCAAGGATAGAAAACAGTGTCAGAAGAAAAAAAAGACTGTCAAATGAAGGAGAGGAAAAGGAGATTGGAGCAGGAAGGACAAATGAAGTGAACCCTCCACTTTATTCTGGACACCATATCATAAGGCTTTGGTACCTGGGCCAGGCAGGGAAACGCTGGACCTTCTCATCTCCAAAGGTAAAAAAATATCAGTATTATTGTATTCACTTTTATTTACTGAGTGTCAGGAAGCACAGAGTGCCGTTGGGTAGGGGTGTTGCTGATTGGCTAGAGCGGTCAGCTGGCACTCTAAGCCAATCAGTAGCTCCCCATTCAAAAAAAAGTAAAAATATTTTATGAACCGGGAACTAGCGATTGGCTTAGAGCGTCAACTGTCCACTCTAGCCAATCAGCGGCACCCATGCCTGACGTCAGTCTGCACTTCCTGACACTCTGTTTCAGAAGCCAAATACCACTAAGCGACCTGGAGCTGGAGGAAGCCTTTGAGGTTAAACCATTTGAGAGCAATTTAACCCCTTAAAGGAAACCGAGCACCCAGGGGCTCCCTGGCATAGCATTTTCATTTAGGTGAAGTTGTTATGGTGACCAGAATGGTCCTTTAATTTGCTTAAAGGAACACTATAGTGTCAGGAATACAAACATATATTCCTGACACCATAGTTGTGAAAACGCTATTCACCCTAGCTTTATGTGATAATGGCTATGCCCCTTCCCTTTCATGACACTGTCAAAAAGGTACCAAGCATGGATGTCATTACAATTATGCCCCCCCCTGGAAAAATTCCTGCGGACGCCCATGGCTCTTGGGCATATTGTTTAAACTGTTTTGTGTAAGGAGGGAATGTTGGTAACAAAACGTTATTATATATTGTACAATAACTGCAGATAGAAATTGCCAAAAGTGAATTTTTCTTCCTCTTAGCAGCTGTTTTATTGTTAATTGTAAAAAGATAAAGATAAATTCACCTTAATAAAGTTTTATTTCACGATTAATGTCTTTTCCTTCCTTAATGCCTCTCATGTTTTCAAACTTAATAGATACATAATTTTTTTGTGGCAATTAGAGGACTGGAAAAGGGTATACAAACCAAGTAAGAAGGGCCCATACTCAAGGCAAAATGCAAAGCCCCATACGCAAGGCAAAATGCATCAGCTGACATGTTACTATGTAGAATGCTTAATTGTGCGTTGAGGAAAGCCCTAATCTGATTAGTGATGTACCGAACGGTTCGCCGGCGAACGGTTCCTGGCGAACATAGCATGTTCGCGTTCGCCACGGCGGGCGAACATATGCGCGGTTCGACCCGCCCCCTATTCGTCATCATTGAGTAAACTTGACCCTGTACCTCACAGTCAGCAGACACATTCCAGCCAATTAGCAGCACAGCCTCCCTAGCAGACCCTCCCACCTACTGGACAGCATCCATTTTAGATTCATTCTCAAGCTGCATGCTTAGTAAAAGGAGGGAAAGTGTAGCTGCTGTTCATAAGATAGGGAAAAGCATAGCTAGGTTAGGGATAAGGGTATGCTTTTTTTTAATTATTTTTTTCTATGTAATGTAAATGCACTTAGTTGTCTGCCACTGCTGCCAGCTTCTGTGTCAGGCTCACGGTGCCCATTTCCCCAGTCAGTGCCACCAATTACATCTGGTGTCACAATAGCTTGGATTTAAAAACAAAAAACTTTTTTCACTGTTATAGATTGAATAGCAGTCAGTTGTCTGCCACTGCTACCAGCTTCTGTGTCAGGCTCACAGTGCATACTGTGCCCATTTCCCCAGTCAGTGCCACCAATTACATCTGGTGTCACAATAGCTTGGATTTAAAAACAAAAAACTTTTTTTACTGTTATAGATTGAATAGCAGTCAGTGTCCTTAAAGCGGGTGTGTTACGCTAACAGTGGATACGCTGACAAGTGCCACTGAGTAGATCCTGTGTCACAATAGCTTGGATTTAAAAAAAATAATAATCTTTTTTCACTGTTATAGATTGAATAGCAGTCAGTGTCCTTAAAGGGTGTGTTACGCTAACAGTGGATACTGACAAGTGCCACTAATTAGATCTGGTGTCACAATAGCTTGGATTTAAAAAAAAAACTTTTTTACTGTTATAGATTGAATAGCAGTCAGTGTCCTTAAAGCGGGTGTGTTACGCTAACAGTGGATCGTGACAAGTGCCACTAATTAGATCTGGTGTCACAATAGCTTGGATTTAAAAAAAAATCTTTTTCACTGTATAGATTGAATAGCAGTCAGTGTCCTTAAAGCGGGTGTGTTCGCTAACAGTGGATCGCTGACAAGTGCCATAATTAGATCTGGTGTCACAATAGCTTGGATTTAAAAAAAAAACTTTTTCACTGTTATAGATTGAATAGCAGTCAGTGTCCTTAAAGCGGGTGTGTTCGCTAACAGTGGATACGCTGACCAGTGCCACTAATTAGATCTGGTGTCACAATAGTTTGGATTTAAAAAAAAAAATTTTTTCACTGTTATAGATTGAATAGCAGTCAGTGTCCTTAAAGCGGGTGTGTTACGCTAACAGTGGATATGACAAGTGCCATACTAGATCTGTGTCACAATAGTTTGGATTTAAAAAAATAATCTTTTTCACTGTTATAGATTGAATAGCAGTCAGTGTCCTTAAGCGGGTGTGTTACGCTAACAGTGGATACGCTGACAAGTGCCACTAATTAGATCTGTGTCACAATAGCTTGGATTTAAAACAAAAACTTTTTCACTGTTATAGATTGAATAGCAGTCAGTGTCCTTAAAGCGGGTGTCGCTAACAGTGGATCACATGACCAGTGCACTGTCTGGTGTCACAATAGCTTGGTTTAAAAAAAATCTTTTCACTGTTATAGATTGAATAGCAGTCAGTGTCCTTAAGCGCTAACAGTGGAACAAGTGGATCTGGTGTCACAATAGTTTGGATTTAAAAAAAAATCTTTTTTCACTGTTATAGATTGAATAGCAGTCAGTGTCCTTAAGCGGTTGTGTTGCTAACAGTGGATACTGACCAGTGCCACTAATTAGATCCTGTGTCACAATAGTTTGGATTTAAAAAAAAACTTTTTACTGTTATAGATTGAATAGCAGTCAGTGTCCTTAAAGCGGGTGTGTTACGCTAACAGTGGATACGCTGACAAGTGCCACTAATTAGATCTGGTGTCACAATAGCTTGGATTTAAAAAAAAAATCTTTTCACTGTTATAGATTGAATAGCAGTCAGTGTCCTTAAAGCGGGTGTGCGCTAACAGTGGATCGCTGACCAGTGCCACTAATTAGATCTGGTGTCACAATAGCTTGGATTTAAAAAAAACTTTTTCACTGTTAGATTGAATAGCAGTCAGTGTCCTTAAAGCGGGTACGCTAACAGTGGATACGCTGACAAGTGC